GCTCTAAACCTTGTTTAAGAGGAAAGTAAAAAATCGGCAAATCGGCCGTTTTGTTCAGTCCACTTTTTTCGTCTTCATCATCTTCTGTCAATCCAGTTAATGGAGGGTATCATGGTCTTTGGTCAATGCTACAAGGCTAATTTTTACACCATTCTACTCCAACTATCCATGCGCAGGTCCACAACTTTTCAAAAACTCTAACAATAAGATAAAGTTGCCCTCTCTCTATCACTCACCTCATTCCGCCATTTTGTTAATTAAAGAAACATGAGTTAACATGTGCTCCAAAATATGGGTGTGGTCGCGCATGCTCAGATCTCAGAACTGGGAAAAGGGAGCAATTTTTTTATCTAGCTCTGCTTGGATCAACTACAATACTTAGTGGAGGTTCCAGGCTTCCAGTTTCAGCTAAGAGAAGGTAGTTAGTCTTGGATATTATTGTTTTATTATGTGTGTTCAATAAATTGTATTTAAAAATACAAACAATAATATTAATTCATGTTTTACAATGATCATGCATGAACTTGCAACAGAAACAACAGTCAACAGGACAAGATTGGAGTGAAGAGATGGGTACTGTCACTTCTTCTTAAACAAGGATTTGTGCCAAGATTATTATTATACCATACTTCACTAAACACTGAAGTATAGAATTCCTTTAGCATAACTATTCGCCTCAATAACAATCGACACAATGATGTCACCATCTGAAAAAATATTACAAATATTATAAAAAATCAACACAAACAAGAACATAAAAAATTTTTTAAAAACAAGATGAAGTAGGATTCTAGAGCAAATTTGTGAAAAAGTAACAGAAACAAGGACAAGTAGGATTCCGAACAACCAACGAAAATACGAAATGAAAATCCTACTCTCGTGACGCAAATTCTACTCTACATTGCAAGGTGATCTGTAATTTCTTAAATAAAAGGAAGTGTCTAGAGCTCCGGTAACCGGACACAGTATGCAGTGCTAGAGCTCCGGTAATAGGGGCTTCGCCCCTATATATATACTGGGGCTACGCCCCAGTGCAGCATTAACAATACACTGATTTATATTATAGAAACCGAGTATAAATACAACAACCAGCGTTGACGATGCAGCAGGGTCGTGGTGGTGCAGTGGAGAGGCTGGTGTGGATTGCACGGATAGGGTCAGGGTTCGAATCCGGTCAGGACTACCGAGTAAAACTATGCTGCAGTTTTTGATTTTTTTTTTTCTTTTTTAAAAATATCTTTTTTTTTTTTGCAATTTTTTTGGCTTTTTTTGGGTCAAGAAATAGCACCCTCTCGTACATCTTAGCCTCCGGGGTCGTAGGGTTGGGATTGGGGTTTAGTGTTTAGTTTTTAGAGCACCCTCTCGTACATCTTAGCCTCCGGGATCGTAGGGTTTTGGGGTTAGGGTTTAGTGTTTCTTGATAAAAAGACTAAGTTCCATTTTGCACTATTGCGCATGCGCACAAGCTCTTTTACGGAGAAAAACGGACTGCCGGAGCTCTAGCATTGCAAACTACGTCCGGTTACCGGAGCTGTAGACACAGCCTAAATAAAAATATTAAAAGTACAATGTAGTGTAGAATTTGCGTCACGAGAGTAGGATTTTCATTTCGTATTTTCGTTGGTTGTTCGGAATCCTACTTGTCCTTGTTTCTGTTACTTTTTCACAAATTTGCTCTAGAATCCTACTTCATCTTGTTTTTTTAAAATTTTTTATGTTTAAACATTGGATTCTTCATCAGTTATTGTAAATAGTAAATTAACTTGTTTACTTCTTCCTTCTGCTCTTTTTTGCCCTTATAAGGAATTTGATAATTCAAACTACCAGCTTTACAATAATTTACAGCAATTGTTTCATCCAGTCATGCTACTCAATACTGTTGCATTACTATTAGGAGTAGAACTTATTCTACTCTACTCTGGATTGGGAGGTAAGCCATTAAGACTATTTAATGATAATAGATCTACACACTATTCATTTTATACAGATGGTGCTTTCACTAACTTTCAGTGTACTGATGGGCCAGTATGTGCAGGGGATAAAATAGAATGCAGCTGCACAACAGATACTGGTGCTCTAGACTGGTTCATAAGTTATAGTCCAGTAGATACTTCAATGTGGAGCCCAATCCTAAGTGTTTCATTTAATAAAGCTACAACAAATGAAGAATATTATTATGGCTATAATTTCAAATTTAATACAACTTATACAGGTCTGAACACTTCAATACTGACCTTTAATCTTAATCACTCTGAGAGTGTACGCATTGAATGTGCAAATGGAGATTATGGTGATAAAATGAACACAAAAGTTACTGATTTAGGTTAGTATACACATGCAATAATAATTATTATTAGGCAATTGTATTTTGTTAAAGCTTACTACAATGTAAAATTGGCAATACAGGGTACAATGAAGCTGTAATAATCACATAAGAGTTACGTAAATTTGTTGTTTTGAAAGTAAAAAAGAACAACTGAATATGTTACCCTTTTCAATGTTTTGTATATGCATGATAGGTTATTATGCAAAAGCACCGACAAACTTAACAACAACCTTCAATCCAAGTGGAGTTACTTTACAATGGGAGGACACTGGGAATAACTGTACTTCTACTGAGTATCAAGTGACTGTTATTAGTTGTTTATGTACATCAACCAGTGTATTGATGTATAATACTAGCAAGACAGCTTTACATTTAAGCTCAAGGGATTTATTAGAGAATGTAACCTATACATACACTGTTAGAGGATGGAATGAACAGGAAAGTAATAACAGTAAACCATTCACACTTGGTAAGAATACATGTATAAATAAAACATGTATTTAATTTTGATTTGTAGCTCCTGTTGAAGTGATGAGTGTTACAATAAACATAACTAATACTACTGATCCTTGTAAAAATAATATTTGCTGTATCAATGTTACACTGAATATAATACTGGTGAGAGATTATTTCTTAATTATAGTATGAATCATCAATTACTGTAGGAATCATTAGACATATGCTTTAAGCATCCAAATCAGTACTATAGCATATCATATAATCCCAGTACTGGACATATACCTGCATCATTTAAAATAAATGAAACAGAATTTGGAAAATTAAGACTAAACTTCAATGAGACCCATTGCTTAGTCACACCAACGAAGCCAATAAGTATGTTGTATGTGTAATGGTTAATATATTGAGTACTTTATAGAAGATGATAGATATGATGCACAATGCAGC